TTTAAAGCCATTCCCCCTCGTCCTGTCACTCCATGCCCCAGTAAAAAGTCCCTCCCCAGCTCTCCTGGAACCCCTTTAGGCACTGGAAGGCGGCAATAAGATCTCCCCGGAGCCTTCTCTTCTCCAGGCTGAACAGCCCCAACTCTCTCAGCCTCTCCTCATAGGAGAGGTGCTCCAGCCCTCGCATCATCCTCATGCCTCTCCTCTGGACATGCTCCAGCAGGTCCATGTCTTTCTTATGTTGGAGACTCCAGAGCTGGATGCAGTACTCCAGGTGGGTGTCATCTAAAATGACATGTAGTTAACGGTCCTACCTCAGAGCTATGTGACTCCCTGTGAGCTAGGCACCTTGGACTTAATTCTAGTTAATGGGGAGCAATAAGCACTCATACAGATAATTATTTTAAAATAGATGGTTAAATTATTTTAAATTAGAATTATTTTAAAATAGATGGTTAATCAGTCTCAATGTCTCACGTGTCAGAAGTGGTTTTGTCTTCCCCATTGATAGAAAGAGGATTTGGCAGATGCAGATGGCTATAGAAAAGACATTTGTATCTGGCCAGGTAGATCCCACCCAGGGTTGTACAACAACAACTGCTATTGCTATAGGTGTGTAGGGTGAGAGCCCTGAGCATCCCAGATGCTGGAAAGGAATTTGCCCTTTCCAAACTGCTGGTAGTATATGCGGGCAGGACATATCACAGGTGAAGAAGTCCTTCTCTGCCTTTTTCCCAGACCTAAATTAAAACCCCGAGCCCCAGGAGCATCCTAGCATCTTTTCAGATATTTATCAGGCATAGCCAAGATCACCTCTGGCTACGGTAGGTGGAAGGGTGTAGATACCTTCAGCTCGTGGCTCAGATCAACCCTACGCCAGAGGACAGTATAGAGCACGGTGATGCTGAGCTGGAACCATCCCACTGCTTGTTTGTGGCCACGCAATGATTCCTTCCCCTGAAAGTCAGGCCAGGGACTGGGCCCCCCTTCATCTGCTGCTGACCTGAACTGTACGTGAACTGTGACTTCCAGCTGAACACGCTCCGTCCTAATCACCACAGCGCTGAGCTACCCCCACAGACCTCCTGTGCAGAAACTCTCTGAAATATAATTGGGCCATTTACTGAATTTTGTCTGGCTAGGCAAGACACTGAAGAGGCATTTGCTTTGTGAGTCCCTTCTACTCTAATTATTGTTCAAGTTACCATTGCATCAGAGCCTAACAAAAGATGCTTAAGAAAGCAAGGAATTAGACATCAATTGTGGTTCATAGGGTCATGGAAGAAATGCAGCACACAAAAAAATAACACATAGGGCATCTCTAGTGTCTGTTCTTTAGCACTTGTACCCCATGAACATCCATTAATGCTAATGTTTATGACTAAATAGAACTATAAGTCAATTACAGATCCTGTTAGTGTTAATTCACAGTCAATCTATATATTTGTCTGCAGAACCGCTAGGGAATTGGTATACAATAGATTTTTCTTTTAAGTGAATGGATTTCTTTTTTTTTTTTAAAGTACAAATACTCGTGAGCTCTGCTATTTCATCTCCTTGAGTTATTACAGGAATATGGTCAGTAATCCACAAATTAGTCTTGTCTGGTACTAGTACGATGGCAGCTGGTGAAATGTCTCAGCCTTTCTATTCATGTCCTGTTGCCACATGGGAGTATTAAGGCGGTGGTCAGAAGAATAAAACTTCTACAAGATGCCTTGGTGAAGACTTGCTACATGTAAACCAGCTGGCTGCAATGGGGAAAAATCTAGCACACATATGGCACACAGTGATAAGAACTAGGACGGTAATCCTTTGGATCCAGATCAGGATCACGTGGCTTTACAACCTTGGGTCTGGATGCAACTTGCCCAACGTAGCCTGGCTTTGGACATGAACAAAACTCAGAAAAGTTTAACATAAGGCTTTTATCTACTTCATGTCCAGACAGATTATACATCTGTGCAGTGCATGGCTTCCAGGTTTACTGGGACCACATCCACACCAGCAAGCTCAGCATCTCCAGGTGCTGCTGCTCCTTCCTGGCCTCTAAACTGGGTTGCCAGGGTCCAAAGTGATCCTGCTCCATCCCTGGAAACATTCCAGGCCAAGTTGTATAGGGCTTTGAGCAACCTGGTCTAGTTGAAGATGTCCCTGCCCGTGGCAGGGGGTTGGACTAGATGGCCTTTAAAGGTCCCTTCCCACCCAAACTGTTCTATGATCCTATGATTGATTCTATGTTCCTATGATTCTATTGTGGGTGGCTCCTGACCCATGCAACAGCTTGAGCTGTGTCTGGAAATCATCCAGGACACAGCTAGTTGGCACAGATGAAAACTATGCCCAGGGCTGCTCTACCTACTTGACAGCACTGACTTTGTAAAGGATTTAGGTATTTTGAAATCTGGCCTCACTCTCATTTGACACAAACCCCATAATTTCTGTAGACAAGCGTAGCTCGATAGATTGCATTACCTGCCGCACTACCTGCAGAGGGCAGATGAATCAGGTGTCCAGTGGTCCATGCTGCAGGGCAAGCATCAGGTTCGGACCTGGTCTCCTATTTCATTACCAGGCAGTCTACTATGGGCAAACCACCAGATTTCTAGCAAGAAATTTGGACCTAGCAAGGCTGAAATGTGCCCTACCCGACTTCAATCAGTGCTTCCCAGAAAACCCTCCATTGGCAAAATTCTTCCCCTCCAGCAAATTGTCAAATTCCGATGAAAAGTTGTGTCACCCATTTCACTCCCAAAGAGCTCCACTAGCCACGGGTACGGTTTTGTCTTGCTCTCATTGTTTCAGTTTGCAGCAGGTTTCTGCTTGGTGAAGCTTCCACTGAAAGAGGGCAGTTGTTGGGTTATGAGCATTATCACACGTGCAGTCGGCGCGTACTTCCACTGCTCGGAAAGCTCACATTTTGAGTTCATTTCTCAGACAACTCTAACATCATTGTAGATCAAAATAGCACCCTCATCATCTTTCTGAATACAGGAGATTCATTTTGCTGGGTACGAGTGCTCTTGCTGTTTCACCAGCATAATTCAGCCGCAGAACTTAAGGCTGGGCTGGGAAGTGCATTCTTTAATCATGTTAATGTTATCCTGTGGCAGTTTTCTTTTTAAAATTTTTGATTGAATTTAATGGAGGTGAAAGTCACTAGATGAATGGTTTCGGAGACAGATGCTCTCTGGATAATTAAAAAAATGATTTCGTAAAGCAAAGCTTCCCCTCCGCTGCCCAGCCACAGGCTCCGGATCACAATGGCTCTGTGGTCCATGGTCCCTGTCCCCACTGCCTTTGCCTAAAGGGCAGGGGATGTCTCTCTGTCCTGGGTGTTGGTTTAGTGCCCTCAACAAAGGATTCCTGCAGGATGAAGCTGTGCATACATGTGTCTGCCCATCTGTCCCCCCATAGAATCACAGAATCATAGAATTGCTGAGGTTGGAAGGGACCTTTAAGATGATCAAGTCCAACCATTAACCTACCATGACAAAACCACTTCTAAACCATGTCCCCAACTACCACCTCTACCCTTTTTTTAAACACCTCCAGGGATGGGGAATCCACCACCTCCCTGGGCAGCCTCTTCCAATGTTTGATAACCCTTTCAGTGAAAATTTTTTTCCTAATATCCAATCTAAACCTTGCCTGCCATAACTTGAATCCATTTCCTCTTGTCCTATCACTTGTCACCAGGAAGGTCAGCCCCCACCTCTCTACAACCTCCTTTCAGGGAGCTGTAGAGAGCGAGAAGGTCTCCCCTCAGCCTCCTCTTCTCCAGGCTGAACACCGCCAGGTCCCTCAGTCATTCCTCATAAGAGTTGTCCTCCAGACCCTTCACCAGCTGCAACACCCTGCAAACACAAGCACACGTCCAAGAAAACCCTTGCCCAGTGGAGGACGGAGACCTTAGTCCTGAAGCAGAGGCTGCAGGGAGCTCACAGTCCTTATCAGGCACCCAGAGGAGGATGCTATGAAAGAAAAGGTGGGTTTTGTCTTTCAGACTTTGTTTGACACCAGGGCAGTGGTCCTGCAGGTGGAATATGTTCTGAGAGCACAAATTCTCAGTGAGGTCTTCCCACATTTGGGTGTTTGTCTCAGCTTTCTCCCCTTAGCAGTCCTTGAGATCAAATACTGCTTGAACTCTACTATTTACCTTCAAAAGTCATCAGCCGATATCACTAACTCATTGCAATAAGATGCAACTAGTTCTGACACCCACAGACAAACCTGCCATCAAAGGACATTTTCATCAGAGTCAAGACCTCACCTGAGACAGGTTTATAATATTCAAATTAAAAGCTCCTGGACTCAATTTCCCACCCCATTCTTTTGCTTTGACCATCCTGGACAAACTTTCCTGTCTCCTTTCAGTATTTAACCTGGCGATAGAGCAGCACTGCCCGGCCCAGGGCTGAGGGGACACCAGGCAGGAGGAAGACACAGCCCATGCTGTGCTGAGCCCTCTCTGCAGTGGCATGAGACCTCTCCTCCCACTGTTCCCACCACTGCACACCTTGGCCAGAGCAGACACCGTGTTTTTAAATTTCTATGAGATGTAAGTCTGAATTCCTGTCCCCAGAGCCATCCAACACTCTCTCATCCAAGGGGACTTGTTGGAAGCCACCCTTTTCCCTTGCCCACCTTGCTCGCGGTGTCCCTTGCAGAGCTCCTGTCTCTCTTGCTGCAGGGAGGGAATCAGGGCAGGGGGAGAGCGTGAGGAGAGGCTCACCTGCTCAACAAGGCGATTCATTTCCAGCACCATCACTACTTTCTGACCCCAAAAGCCCTGTACCCCCACTGCCTGGGTCAATATGCCTTTGTAGACAGTTCCTCGGCCCCTGGGCATCCTGACCTGGCCTCCTGCAGAGGAGCTTTAGTAGCCCCAGGAAGCCGTGGAAAGGATCAATGCTCATTCCTGAAGTGAAGGCGCTTCTCCTCCAATGTCTCTGTGACCCTGTAGGCAGCATGGCCATCCAGCAGCCCGTTTACTTTACCTGGCAGGCGCCTCTTTCTCCTTTCTCCAGCTCAGCACACAGCACGTTCTCCACCAGCTCGGGGATGCGCTCCAAGCACTGCTCCCTGCTGATGAGCTTCATCCGCGCTTTCTGCAGCACGCGGGATGCTGGCACCGCCACCACTGACCATCAAGAGAGAAGCGAACGATTAACAAACCCTGCCGAACAACACAGGCTTCTAAGGGTGAAACCAGAGACAGAGACTAACCCTTGGGACTGCTCTCGGCTGAATTTGTAAGGCTTCTCAGGGCAAAAGGCTCTCAAGGCACAACCATATGGTCATGAGGGCTTACAGGGGCTGTCCAAATGTTAGCAGAGATAACTTTATGCTCTTGACTTTATGCCAGACTAGGAGGTGGGTGGGTAGGTAGAGAGGGAGGAGGTGTTAATGGGCAAAGCTGAAATCCTGGGGAGTGGAGGCTTGCTAAATGGGATTCTTAAAAATCACTTATTCTTGTAGATGAGCTCTGGGATGTGGTACAGCTGGAAGAACTCCCAGAGGGATGGCTTATCCTGCTGGTCTTGGTGATGACCTGAGATGAGCTCAGCTGCACACTTGGGGTTTCTCCCTCGCGTTTCTGGGGAACTCAGTTTGAGGGACTCTTCATGGGGTCCTGTGCAAGCCCTGTGGAGGAAAGGCCACTGAGCTTTCCCCAGAACAGATGATGTTGTTATCCCCATGCTTTCTGGGGAGGCTGTTGAGGCCATGCCTCACACAGGGGACCAGCTGTATTTTTCACAAAGTGGCTCTCAGTACGCAATGGAAATAACTACTTTATTCTTCCCTTAAGATGGGAAAACAGAAATCGCAGTGGGCACCAGCAAGCGACAAAAAATATGCAGGGCTACTTGGAAAACCCGCTCATCTAACCCACATTTCTTTTTAAAGTGAATCTGAGTCTGAAGGATAAAACTGACTTTTGGAGGATGTTGCTGCTGGGGAGGAGGAGACCTACAGGTTTTCAGAAACTCACTTCTTCCATATTTCACTGAGCTAAATCCTCCCAGCACCTTCAGGAAGGTGGGACTCAAAGGGAAGATCTAAGAGATAGATGTTGTCAGGTCCCTTTCCCAACTAAGATGGGGCCACTCCACAGAAGTGCCCACAGATTAAAATGCTTTGATGTAGGCCTCTCCAGGGAGGTGGCTCTGCTTGTTGAGGTCTAATTGACTGCAGCTCAAGAGGAGTCAGGCTAGTGCTGCTTGTGGTGCCATCTGTGAGATGTCCACCTACAAAAGCCTGGTAGAGATGACAAACAACACATTTTTCCCCTGCCGAAGAACAATGCCTCATACTTTTTGGTATGGCCTGTATCAGACCATTGCACATCCCTCTCACCAAACTCAGCTTCTGCTGGTTTTCTTCTGCAACATCTCCCAGATAGAAGGGGGCTGTGCCAGGGCTGAGCGCATTGATCTCATGCAGGGTGCAAATTGGTGGTGAATGGAGCTAAATCCAGTTGGCGGCCGGTCACAAGTGGTGTTCCCCAGGGGTCGGTACTGGGACCAGTTCTCTAATAACTTTATGAATGACCTGGACAAGGGGATGGAGTGCACCCTCAGTAAGTTTGCAGAGGACAGCAAGTTAGGCAGGAGTGTTGATCTGCTGGAGGGTAGGAAGGCTCTATAGAGAGATCTGGACAGTCTGAATAGATGGGCCAAGGCCAATGGTGTGAGGTTCAACAAGGCCAAGTGCCTGGTCCTGCACTTGGGTCATAATAACCCCGTGCCATGCTACAGGCTTGGGGAGGAGTGGCTGGAAAGCTGCCTGGTGGAGAAGGACCTGGGGGTGTTCAGCCTGGAGAAGAGGAGGCTGAGGGGAGACCTTCTCGCTCTCTACAGCTCCCTGAAAGGAGGGGGTAGAGAGGTGGGAGTTGACCTCTTCTTGTTAGTAACAAGCGATAGAACAAGAGGAAACAGCCCCAGGTTACGTCAGGGGAGGTTTAGGATGGATATTAGGAAACAGTTCTTCACAGAAAGGGTTGTCAAGCATTAGAACAGGCTGCCCAGGGAAGTGGTGGAGTTGCCATCCCTGGAGGTATTGAAAAGATGGGTAGACGTAGTGCTGAGGGACATGGGTTAGTGGTGGTTTTGGCAGTGTTTGGTTGATGGTTGGACTTGATGATATTCAAGGTCCCTTCCAACCTAGACGATTCTATGATTCTATGAGTCTAAGTGATGTCAACTGAGCCCACGCAGCAGCACGAGACCGATCTCCGTAGCCACGCCAAGGATTTTGCAAAGAGACTAGCTGAAGAGAAACCCTGCCATGCTGCAGAGTGGCTCTGCAGCAGCGCCCTGCTTTCCTGTTTCTAAGAGCACGTTACCTTGGTGAAATGGGAGAGTTTCACAGCTATAACACAGTGTTGTGTTGTGTATTACCATTACGAGAGGCAAATGAAGCCTAAGAAGGAAAATGCAGAGGTTCAGAGAGGAGACAGTAACCCTTTGGAGCAGAATAGCAAGGTTTAAATGGGACATTCACTTGCTACATCCTAGGAGGGACTGTTGAAACCCCAAGGCACCACCCTGCCCACTCCGACCTGATTACCTCTTTCCAGTAATGAAATCGCTCATTAGCCATTTAGTGACATTTGTTCAGGATAGACATTTTGGGTCACAATCAGTGCTGGAGCTACTTTCATTAGGGCTTACATGACAGCAATTAGCAATAGCAATCTGCTGTCCTAAATAAGCGAAGAAGAGGGGTGACCAGTACCGTTGCATCAATATGATTCATGGAGGCATTAAGCCAAAGACAACCCTAAACCTTAATTTCCCTTCTTCTGCACCATTTTAGACACAGCCTGACTTGCTCAACAGGGTGAAGCTTGTCTTACTTTGGATGCCAAAAAATGCATCCTTAGTAAGGCTGAGTTCCTGCAGAGCAAAGGTGGCTCTAAGGTTTCAGCTTGAACATGCGTGCTCAGAGTACCAGGGACGTTGCGCTGGAGGTCAGTAGGTGACTGGTTCTTGCACTGAACAGAGAACTGGTGGATGTGCAGAGGCTGCGAGGGTCTGGATGTGTTTACCAGGGAGGTAGGGAGAGGATGTCAGTGTGGGTAACCCCTCCTGGGAGAGAACATCTACTTTAAATGGATAAAAACCAGCCTTCGTTAGCAAATGCACCTCCAGACAGCATCTCACCTCCATTCGTGCTTCCCCACCCAGCAACCCAGCAGTGTTGCCACGTATTGGTGTCATACATGAAGGGCAAGCAGACGGGGATTTTCTCATCACTGAACTCGATGGGAGCGCTGAGCAGGACCAGAGCGATATCATTTTCCATGCTCATTCTGTCAAAGTTTTCGTGGAGGATCAAGCTGTCCGGTTTATGTTCTTCGAGCGGGAGGCTGACGTCAGTTCCCCCCACGACAACAGTGAGATCTGGTGGCCTTATAAACGAAACAGAAGCAATGCAGACATAAGGAAACACGAAGGCTTTGCGTTATAAAGGTTGGTGCCTCCTCACGCCGAGCAGGGTAGGGATGGTGCTCAGCAAATTGCAGAGGCAGGTTAGCTATAAATACCGTAGAAATATACCCTCCCTTCTAGGAGAAGCTAATCTTCAGGGGAAAGAGGTGCAGAGGTAGAATATGAATGCAACCACGTTATAAATAGCCCAGTGGCTAATGAACAGATGGAGTGGGCTGGATCTTCGGGATCGTTGTGCCCCTGGGCTGGCCGCTCTGGACCTCGCTGCCCCCAGCCAGCTGCTCCAGGTTGTGATGCCACAGGTCATTTGTCACCCAGCAGCCCCCAGCTCTCCGACCTGCCGCGGTTTTGGAAGGGGCTCGCAGAGGGCTGGACTCTGCCCCTTAGCATTGCCTGGGGTTGCTTTATCAGAAACTGCTGGTTTAAAATCAGACTCTCCATGAGGTAAAGGTGTTTGTTATATGCAAGCAAAGGTAGTTTGGGGGTTAGAATAAGCTGGAATGGAATACACCTCTTTTTAGATGTACAGAAAATGCTTGGGGCCATCAGAACAGCATCACGGACATCTATACAAGGCTGCTCAGACCATCCTTCAAAACGTTCTCCTTCTGCACCTCCTGGTTATGCAGATTTCTACACATTTCTGTTGTAATACTACCTTTGATCAAAAATAAACCCGTTTTCCCCCAAGGAAACAATTCCTGTGTTCAGGGCTCTGTTTCTGGCTCAGTCACACACGCGTTGGACTTGACCCCAAGGACATACGTATCCTACACCCATGAGGAGTGACATTACGAACCCGTTGCGCCTGGGCTGTCTTCGCTTCCCCCGAGTACTCACACCTCTTTGGCAAAGCAATGGGCCGCAGTTAAAATCCACAATGCACTGATGATGGTGCCGCCGCAGATATGTTTCCCGTTGCTCTGGATGCTCACGTGCCACGGGAACTCCCCAGCCTTGGCGTACCTCCCCGCTGTGATCCTCTTGCCAGTCTCCAGAAAGGACTCGTAAGATGGTCGGAGGCCACACTCTGGGTACAAAATGAGACACGTCGCTCACGTACAGCAGCGCCGCTGCCAGTGCTACAGAACTAGAGGGGCAGGACATCAGCTAAAGCACTGGTCTGTAATTATCCATGCTACCTGATCTCTTCCAAAGCCCCTGTAATTGCTGTAGCCTCCCCAAACCTGCATTCTGCAGAGCAATGCCCAGGCAGTTTGGGGGGTCACATAGACCATTTCCCATGGGCAGGTTGGGTAAAATCCTTGTTCAGGGTGTAGGAGTGGAAGAGTTCAGCACCAGGCTGGAGTACGAGCCGGACGTACATGCCATCAGGAATAAGCCCAGGCCTATTTCATTTACCGATACGTGTATATCCTGTAGGGCTACTAGCAGTTCTGCTCTGAGGGTCACTTCTGAATGTAAACAGTTGAGAAGAAAAGCCTGCATGGATGCCGCTGATCAGAGAAGTTAAACAAAAGAGGGTAAGGAGCAGCATTTCAATCCCAGTCTTGGACCAACACTCTTTGACAACACTCAGAGCCGCGATGCTTCTGCAGACACCTCAGGACATCTTCCCCGTTCCATGTTCTCACCATAGGTAACGCGTCTTCTCTGCCAGGGGCAACCAGGATGTGACATCACATGATCTATTTGTTTCTGCTGACATCACAGTTGGATGCTGTCCTTCCTAAGGTGATGAGGGAAAGCCTGGTGATTTCCAAGAGGCTTGGAATTTCCTTTAGCTATGACAGGAGTAGGGCAGCAGAGAAATTCTTGTCTGTATTCAGGACTGACTTTCACAGGGCATTGCAACAGTGGACTTCATGCCTTGGGTGTTGAAGCCCTTTTTGGTTCTTGAACCATGTTCTTCTCTACGAAGACGGTAGCTGCTGGTCCTGCACTAGTTTTTGTCTTCGACTCTGAGAAGTGCTGAAGCCTAACAAACTCTGAATTAATTTTCTCTCCTTCGTTTAGTCCATGTCTATGTTCTCAGAAGAAAGAGGCAGCTCTGTGGGAGGGTAAATTTCGAACAATGCCAAATCAATAGTACAGTATCAAAGATGTTAAGGCAGCCACTCCCTTCTTCCCTGGGGGCAAAGATGGCTTACAAGACCAAATTCAGCTTAAAAAATTAATCCATGAGGCTGAATCATCAGCATTTCACCTTTACTGATTATATCCCCCATATGTCTTTGTACCTTCAGCAACCGCAAGGGGTCAAGGCCAAAACTCCACCCTACAGTAGCTCCACAATTAATTCTGTGGTGGCATAATATTTTGGTGTGGACCTATTTTAGCATCAATGGACCCATGTATGCTGATTTCTAAACCAACACGTTATTTCCATTAGGACAGGACTTAAAAATCTCAGCCAGGTTCAGACTTGAGCCCGGCTATGTTAAGGACAGAATGGTGCTTTCTCCAAAGACTTTCCAGCTTGTTTCAAAACATTAACTATAGTGTGGAGTAGGAGGGGAGGGAGGGGAAAGAACAGAAGGGAACCGAGCAACATTTTATGAGCAACCCAATGATTCCTCACATGAAACGTTTTGCCTTGTATATTGGAGCAAATCAGGAGTTATCCCATGGAAGGCTGAATTACGCAGAGGGTAAAACCACATAGGGTGAAAGTCAGACTTCATTTTCCTCTCTTCTTTGCTTTTATGTCACCCCATGCCTGGGAAATGAGATGAAAGTGCTGGTTTCCTTGACAGTGAGCACTAGAACAATTCAGCAGCACAACACGTGGAGGACAAGCGATCAGTTACCACAGCAACTGGAAATCCTGAGTGCGATGTGGGCACATTTTGGGGCATCTCCAGAAAGAGCCTAACATGGCAATCCTGCCAGAGGTAGCTCCTCTCAAGCTTACCCCAGGAATAAATCTGCTAAAAGAACAGGTTTCCTCTTGAGGCTGGAATGAACTAAGCATCAGCTGAGGAGCAAGGGAAGATGGGGAGCTAATTTCTCTGACATGGGCTTTTTGCCTGTCTGATTAAAGCAGGCAGGACTTCAGCAGTGGATTTACAAGCTCAAAGACTGACGCGGACTTACAAGCTCAAAGACTATCTGATGCACATCTTCAGTTGCTCCAGGTTCAGACCAGAACAGGGTCTGGTCTGTTGGGGAGTTACAGGAGATGTTCAGGGAGTTGTGTGGGGCCTTTCTGAGCCTAAAATCTGAGCTGGGGAGCCGGAACCATCAAACTGACATATAGAGAGTGCCATGGAGAGCTATCCAAAAGGAAATGCCGCAGATGTGTGTCTCTGGGTCCCCACCATCTCGGCCTCAAAATGGCTTTATGAGCTCTGCTGCACAGAATCACCACACCAAGGCAGGCTCCTGCAAGCTTTCCCTGAAGAAGAGCAAAGTTGCTCCTTAACACATCTGCAAGAGGACACACCAATGACACATGTTCTTCAAACGTAGCAATTAAGACAGCCTCCAAAATAGGAAACATATGAGAGGTTCAAGTCCACTCCTCCCACTGCTCTGGGAAGTACTTCAAGCAGCAAGCTGGATGGGCGGGACAAACCCACCGCCATCTTTCCTACCGAAGCCGTTTTTCCTAGTAGCATGCCCCATAGCATACATATAACCCATAGGATCCCACATCAATAAAGGATAACACCTGCATCCACTACGTCCTTTGGCTGTAGCTTTTAGTCTTCGCTCTGAGAATCCCATCAATAAAAAGAAAATTTAGTGCCACAGGATCATAAAATCATGGAATGGTTGGGTTGGAAGGAACCTTGAAGATCATCTCGTTCCAACTCCCCTGCCATGGGCAGGGACACCTCCCACCAGACCAGGTTGCTCCAAGCCCTGTCCAACCTGGCCTTGAACACCTCCAGGGATGGGGCAGCCACAGCTTCTTGGGGCAACCTGCCCCAGGGGCTCACCACACTCACAGGAAACAATTTCTTACTGATATCTATTCTAAAATATCCCCTTTCATTTTAAAACCATTCCACCTCATCCTATGTCTCCCCTCCCTGATCCAGAGTCCCTCCCCAGCTCTCCTGGAGCCCCTTTAGGCACTGGAAGGGGCTCTGAGGTCTCCCCTTTTTCGCCTTCTCTTCTCCAGGCTGAACCCCCCCAACTCTCCCAGCCTGGAGCAGAGCGCAGCAGAGGGGCACAATCCCCCCTCGCCCTGCTGGCCACGCTGCTGGGGATGCAGCCCGGGATGCCGGGGGCTCGCTGGGCTGACAGACCACATTGCTGGCTCATGGTGAGCTTCTCATCCACCAACACCCTCAAGTCCTTCTCCTCAGGGCTGCTCTCCATCCATTCTCCGCCCAGCCTGGATTTGTGCATGGGGTTGCCGCGACCCATGTGCAGGACCTTGTACTTGGCCTTGTTGGACCTCATGAGGTTCTGGCTGTCCCGCTATTTTGACTGTACACGCACTGGGGCAGAGACTGCCTGATGTCATGTTCACACAGCACCCGCCGTAATGAGCTCTGATCTTGGTGGTGGGGGTTCCACAAGCTATTGAAGTAGAAACAATTAATCATAGGAATAATTACGTTACAGTGAGGCCAGTATGAATTCTACTCCTCTGTACTGTCATGCACAATAATACAGACTTAAAAGCCCTGGTGTTTAATTATCAGGCTGCAGCCTTTTATAATGTTTGATACTTTTTTTAGATTTACTGAGATATACACACAGAGTCATGGAACACATCGCAGACAACATTTTTCTTTTCTTTTTTTGGTTATTTATTGTAGTGCAGGAAGCAAAATTGATTTCTTTTTGTGTTTATACACTTTTTGGAACTGTCAGAAAGAAGTATACGTTACAATTTTACTTTTTCTTCCTAAAATTGTTTCAGAAAATAGGCACTATAGGTGATATTACATGTTGCTGTGAAAGTGGAATTGTGAGAGAATTACTGATCTAATACATTCACCATTCTCCAAGACATCAAATTACAGGGTTGCGAGAGTTAAGATGAGCCCAACCATGTCTCCAGAAGTCAAAGCGCTCATAACACGCGCCAGTTCATTAACCCAAGAAAATAAATATGTCTGTAGGCACTACCTATGCAAAGCAGTTAGCAGGAGCAACCACCCCCTAATTCATCCCTTTAACAACATTTCAAGCCCAACTTTTCAAAGTTTCTTTTCTCTCCAGATTACAAGACTGCAAGGAAACCCCCTGAGCTGCACAGAGCAAGAAGCCGCATTTGCCAACAGGCGCAATTTCTGCCTCTACTTTGGCTTTTACTGTCGGTGAACGGGAAACTGCTGGGATTACGGAAAGCCGCCCCAATGTTCCCAAATCTGATGCCGCGGGCGTACGGTAACACCTATCAGGGTTGTTTTCCAACAACTCCCTAAAACAAAGTGGGGGCAGTGGAGTAAGCACAGGCTATTTCTTGATCCCAATAGGGCAGGAAAGCCCCGTTCCCCCGAGGCCGCAGTATCCGCCGGGGTTCTTACTGAGGTACTGCTGATGGTAATCTTCGGCGTAATAAAACTCCGGAGCCTCACGGATTTCTGTTGTGATGGTACCAAAGCCGCCCTCCGTCAATACCTGTCAAGAAACACGATGGAAAGCCATTAGTGGTTTGTTGGCTTCTCTGCTGATGAATGATGTTAGGTTTTCTCTCAGCAGGAGCCACAGACATCTCTCAGCGCTTGGACCACAGCTCCAGCACCTCCCTGAAAGCCCTTTATCCTCGCTCTCACATTATTTTGCTAGGAGACATTGCAAGCACCAAAGGAGGCGTCGGTGAGAAAAGGGAGTGCACCCACCTGGTTTAATGGCTCGGTTTTTTAATTTTGCTATGGCCACACATTCCTTCCCTCCTCTTTATTAACCACACCAGGCAGGGATGTGGTGCCATCAACACAAGTGGAAAACAAAGGTGAAAGGGAGCAGAACACCCTTTGATCAAGCCTGGCCGGCTGCCTTGCAGTGTTGGAGAACTTCACCCGGCAGCTTTGAGATGTGCTGACCACCCCAAACGTCCTTCTGCCAAGCAGAATTTCCAGGTGAAATTTTAGCCCCACTGATGTCATCGAGAAATAAGAGCATCTGGGCTCTTTTCACAGAGTCGCTGCAAACCCATTCTTCAAAAAGAACAGTTCCATCATGACCAGAAAGGTATTTTTAAGGCAAATTACGGCTCATTTCTGAAACATTTGCCAATACACAGACTGGGAGCAATAATCACTTTGCAGGAAAAGAAGGAATGTGGGTGAGGATTTTAAATTAGACTTTCTTTCTGATATCCCCTGACTGAATTTGAAACTCCTGAACGATTTCTGACAGAGGAAATTTCTTTTTAACGTGAATTGCCATGACATTTTTTCCTACTGAATTTTCCTTTTCTAAGGAAAATGGTAAGCAGCAACATTTTGGGGTCAATTCTTGTCTCAGTGGGGACACAACTTGTGGTCATTGAAGTCCATGAAAACCTAATAAGGACTTTAATTGGCGTCAGACTACTGTTGCAAAGTATACTTGTAAAGTACTGGACGTAGATAGAATTGCATTGCTATCAGCCAGACTTGATGGTAAGATCAACTGCAAGATCGAAGCATTAGCATTTGAGATTATCAGATAAATATGTTCTCTCATAAAAATAAATGAAACCAATAAAAGGAAATCATCACACAGAATCACAAAAACCGAGCTGGTAGACCTGTTGTAAGTCATCAAGTCCAACTTCTCTCATCACAATACAAGGCATGATAACTGCCTTACTCCCAGCAAACTTTTGTTTAGCTGTTTTGGAAAGATCTTTGGAGATGGAAATCTTCCAGTTTCCTCAAGGAGGGCATTCCGATATTTACCATCCTCTTAGACTTTCTCCTAAAGCCTAACCCAGTTAAGCCCACTACTTTCAATTAACTCCACTATTGGGGTTGCGCTCATCATGGGTGTGGAAAGTAAGTCATTCCCTTCCTCTTTACAACAGTCTTCTACACACTTGGTGCCTGGGCAGAGAGAAAGATGACACATAGTGGAAACAATGCTTCCACACAGCATTAGCTAACACTTAAATAACAGGTGATTATTTGGGACCGAAAAGTCTTTGAATTTCCTAGAACAGGGTTTCCTAGATCATACCTTGTGAGTTATTCTGGTAATTTCATTGTCTGGAGGATCCATTTTGCTGTACTCAGTTTTCAATCAGGAATGAAGCAATAAGACTGATACAAAATCTGTGGCTGACCTGTCTGGAGTGTCCCTGTGTTCCAAAACTTATATCTAAATTCTTAGCGCAGGTTAGGAATCATAGAACCATAGAATCATAAACGGTTTAGGTTGGAAGGGACCTTAAAGATCATGGAGTTCCAACCCCTCTGCCCTGGGCAGGGACACCTCCCACCAGACCAGGTTGCTCCAAGCCCCGTCCAACCTGGCCTTGAACACCTCCAGGGATGGGGCAGCCACAGCTTCTCTGGGCAACCTGTGCCAGGGGCTCACCACCATCAGAATGAAAATTTCTTCCTAAGATCTAATCTAAATATCCCATCTTCCAGTTTGAAGCCATTCCCCTTCGTCCCATCACTACATGCCCTTGTAAAAAGTCCCTCCCCAGCTCTCCTGGAGCCCCTTTAGGCACTGGAAGGGGCTCTGAGGTCTCCCCTTTTTGGCCTTCTCTTCTCCAGGCTGAACCCCCCCAACTCTCCCAGCCTCTCCTCCCAGCAGAGGGGCTCCAGCCCTCCCAGCATCTCCGGGGCCTCCTCTGGCCCTGCTCCACCAGGTCCATGTTCTTCTTATGTTGAAGGCTCCAGAGGAAGATGTTGACTACTTAATTCATTGTATTTGAACACAGAGGGGTAACAGGCCCAATTTCACAGAAATCTGTCCTTATTTCCCCATGTAAAAACACCAAACAGTGTTTTTCATCTTTGGGAAAGACTTTATCCCAAGGGAATCAGATTATTTACCCATCAGATATGTGAGCGAAAAAGATAAAAAATGTGAAGGTATGTATCACAACACGTCGTCAACAACTGACACAAAGAGGTGTCAACACAGCTGCTTTTAGAAAGCAGCATTTCACTTACTTTCTAACATTCCAAGCAAAGAAAAGCACTTTTTAAATTATGTTCACTCCAGAAAGATGGCACAAACTCTGTCATCATGGGCATTAGTCATTTACTTGCTGCTATAAATGCATGTAAAATTGGTTTCCCCCCCCTTAACTGGATGCTGCTGGAGGGATGGATATTTTTCTACTGTGCAAAACAGTATTCGTTACAGATTTTTACCTGGGAGTTTTCCATCATTGGCCTAATTTTGTCAGTTAGAAAATCCATTCTGTTCAATAACATACCACAAGAGGGCATAAACATCATTTATCCCTTTCAGAATTACTAACAGTCTATTAGAACACCGCACGCTGAATAAAACAGAAGCCCAAGACAACTCATTCTATTGCACTTTGGTCATTAGCAAAAGATACCAGCGCTGTTGTCAGCAGCAGCGGGGACCCCAAGCTCCGACACTCTGCCAAACACTACCTTGAATGTTTTGATTTTCAACGGGAAAATATTTTCCTCGCACTGTGTCGATGCAAAGATAAAAACATCGCCGGGAAAAGATGATGAAGTTCACGATATGCTGGCTCCGGCAGGTGTAAATCAGCCCGCTCCTGATTAATTTCCTGCCGCCGCGGCAGATATAATTTGATGATAATCCTGTTCTAGCCGACTTTTTAGTCCTCGCTGTCTCAAAATTCCTCAGCCATCCGACGTGACCTCCCGTTACCACGCTGCAGCCAAAAGGGCTACCGCAGCCTTCGCATGCAGAAATGGGAAGGACCAAATTAGGGAGAGTGTAATTAACCCTTGGGACTTTTTGCTCAGTGCAGGAAAGTTTTAAAGTACCATTAGATTTTTTTTTCTCCCAAATCCTCTGCCGCAATTCAAAAAGAATTACTTCGTTAATTCTTCCAAGGCACTTCTGTGGCTTTGTCATAGGAGAGGTCACACTGGAAGACCACAATGATCCTTTAACTGATTATAATTGAGTCCAAAAGAGAGGCCAAACCAAACCAGAACCCAAAACTCACCCAGCTGTCGAGGACAAAGGGGACACGGCCAACTCAGTACATCGGGACAAGCGCTGGAGGAACACGTTGGAGCCGGTGCCAGGAACCTCAGCAGGGTTACTTTTTTAAACCACCTGTACTTCCAGCACTAAAAAGACTTTGTTTGATGAGTTTCCTAATTTATTATAGTCTGTGAAAGTTTCCTCCTGTTGTTTGCTTTAAAATTCTTACTTGACCATGTCATTACATCCAATAATTCCTTATTCACTCTCGCCGTAGCAAGCTTGATTTTACAACTCTCCCTTAATCCTGCTCATTCATTTCTTCAGCAAGCTTCACGGGCTCCGACTCCCCTCTTCACAGGTCAGCTTTCTCGCCCTTCTCTGCATCTTTTCTTGTTCTATTTTACTGCTGCCTTGAGATGGGGTGACTGGAATTGCACTCTATTCAAGATCACCGCGGATTTATTCAGTGGTGTACTTACATTTTCTCTTATTCTCCATCTCTTTCCCAGCAATTCTTAGCATTCCACTTGCCTTTCTGACCTCTGCTGAGCACTGAGCAGACGGTTTCAAAGAACCATCTGCAATGACGCCAGGACCTCTTTCACGGGCTAATTTAAACCCTATCATTGTGTTGGCACTTGACTTTTATCGACATGGAATTTCAGCAGCTATTTTATTGCCCACACATTTGATACTGTCAGATTCTTCTGCAACTTTTTTGTAGTCATGTCTACTTTTGCTTACCTGGAATAACTCTATACCATCGGCAGATTTGGGCACGTCACTATTGTCTGTCTGCCTTTTCCAGCTCTTTTGCGAGTCTACAGAACAGCACAGGTTCCCAAGACGGGTAATTGGTAATCTCCCTTCACTGCGGAAACTGCCCGCTTATTTGTATCTTTTATTTCCTATCTATAGCCAGTTATTCATTCAGAAGATAAACTTTCCTCTTAATCCACAGCCCCTGGTTCCCTTTTATGCACCTGCTCTCTTCAAAAAACCATATTACGTGTGCAAGACATGAGTTTTCTCAGTCACATCAGCTCTTCTCTGAAACACGGTATCCTATGTGTGTCTACTAACTTCTGATAACTCAAGCAATCTGCAGCATATAGCGTCAGACCAAACTTGTCTATAATCCTGGATCATCTTGGAGATACCTCAGGCACAGACGCAGCCCACTTTTCGTTCCTTGAGCAGCAGGGCCAGTTTAAATCACAGCTTACCCGTGATGCTCCTGTGCAAGCAATTTCCGGTTTAAGTTCTTTTCATACCTGAAGCCGACCACCACCTGGTTGCACTGACCTGCCACTGTTCATATCAGTGATTTCCTCTGAACCTCTTTGGCTGTAGCTTGAACTTGAGACAGATCCTCAAAACTGTAACCACCATTTGGTGTGGGAAACACTCCAGTTCCTCAGCTGTGACCACAGACACGAGGAAGTATGTAGTTTTCCGTGATGGTATTACCTGTGTGAAGACCTTCATGGACAGCTCAAGCCTTGCAGATGCTTTGTCTC